AGCTTGAAAGAAGAGGACAAAAGGCAGCACTTCGGCAAAGTAATTATTGAATGGCACTCCGTGAAAATTTTTGCACTATGGAAATGTGGGCTTAGCTGATGAAAACATTTCAACCAGAGAGAACTTGCGATCTTGTCCAGGCCATTGCGGACTACCTCGGGGCTCATGGACAAGTCGCACGACATCTCCCAGAACTTGTTAAGACACAGGCAACGGTGTGGTGATGGCCAGAGGGAAGAAAGGGCGGGGCTGGGTAGAGGTGGGCAAAGGGGCAAAATTGGGGACATCTATAAGAGTGTCAACAATAAAAATAGTCTTAAAAAATGTGCATTTTCTAGCTCTGCCCAGACTTCCTGAATCAGAATCTGTAGCTTTACGATCTCTCTAGATGATTCGGATGCTCACTGAAAATTGGAGACTCAGTGATCTAGGTCACTGGTCTTCCAATCTCTTCATTAGTTATGAGGACTGTCTATTTGGAATAAAGAAGTTTTGAAGTCCAATTAGTGAAAGTATCTGGTGACTCTGGTTAATTAGGAAGAGCTGTGGCTCTGGCTGAAATTGTCATGGGCACCGCCAACTGAGCAGAGTTCCGTTAAGGCCCCTGGCTCTGGTGAACTCAGGTTACTTGTCAGTGTTGGAGGCCCAGCCCCCGCTCTGACAAATGCGGCAGCTGAGCCTTGGAAAGGGAATGGACTTAAGTGTGTTCAAAGGATACTGCAAGATCAGAATTTAAAAAGTCGTCTTGAGGCCAGGCCTTTTGTAAATCAGATAAATTGATGCACAATCATTAATCCTGTGAAAGCAGTTATTACCAATGGTTATCCTTCGGTGTTATACTTGAAATTCCTTTAGAAAGTGACTTTTAGCCCTGACTGGTGTGGCTCAGTGGGTTGGGTGTCATCCTGCAAACCCAAATTTCCCAGGTTTGATTCTTGGTCAGGGTACTTGCCTGTGTTGTGTGCAGGCCAGGTCCCCTGTGTGTGCGAGAGGCAAACAACCGATGTTTCTCTCCCACTCTTTCTCCTTCCCTTCCTCTCACTCTAAAAATAAATACAATCTTTTGAAAAAAGAAAGTGACCAGGTATTTGGGGACACACATCTCATAAATGAGATATTCCAGAATCCTGGATTTTTGTTTGAAAGTCTCAGATGGAAAACTTATATTTTAGGCTCTATTGTGTTAGCCAAAAGAAAAGTGGGTAGAATACCTCTCCAATTGATTACAGATCTTTGAGTTTATATTTCTAGTTGTAATGCACCAAAATATGGTATGGAAGTGTCCAAAGCACTTGGCTCAGATGTGGACGGGAATCCTTATTTTATGATTTGAATGTATATTATGTGCTGGGAACACTTATTACATGTGGCATGTGGTTCCAGGTCACAAATCAAGATTTTAAAAGAGCTGGTTCATGTTTGTGATAACTTGGCACTAAAATAGGGTGTGAGGTGCCTCTTCATTTCTGTGGACTTAGCTGTTCGACCTCCACTGTGAACCCCTAGCGTGTGCTTGAATCATGTGTTCTCAAGGCATCACAGTTGGGGCATAAGAAATTCTTGATGAGAATGTCATGCTTCCAAGACACAGGGATATGACTTACTTTATACACCTGGTCAGGCTTTCTCTTTATTTTTGCTCTTGGGGAGAAGGCAGCTGTTGGACTTTCAAAGATTTTCCCTTAACTCATCAGAATGATCACTTGACTTTCCTGAGATCCAAATCCCAAAGTGGCAAACATAGTGAGTATATTTGACTCGCTACTTGTCTTGTACATCGGCTGGCTTATTGCTAAGCCCCCTAACAAAAAGCAACAAGTGTAACCTCAAAGAAAACCTTGAATTCATTTGGCAACTTCCCTCTTCCACCACCACAGCCCTTTGAACTTCCCGCAGCATGGTGTCCACGTGGCCGAGCTCCCCGCCCACAGGCTCTCCTGCTCCCTAGCTTCCCTTTCCCGTCAGGCCGCTCCAGGTGTGCTGGCAAAGAGGCAAGACTGCTCGGTTACCTGGGTGGCAGGTAGAACCTCAAGGAGTCACAGCCTCAGGCAGCCTCATTGCTGTCCCGTGTTCTCTTGTGATAGCTTCATGGATTCAGAAGAAGAGTTGGGGAGTAAATGATGGTACCGTGAGGTGAAGTTCCACTTTAGTGGATGAATAATTGTACTTAAAGAGTGATTAACCATAGAGAGAAGTGATTAGCACAGAGGTTTCCAGATTTTCTGGATCCCCAGTACTGCAATAACTCAGTAATTCCTTTGCAAAACCCCCAGGTCAAAAATGAAACGAAATAGTTTCTAACTATTAAGCAGGCAAGATCAAACAATTTGGGGAGTATTTATGTCCTAACAATTTAGCAGACACTTGAAACAATAATACACTTAAATGAAAGAAATAATACTTATTTTCTTTTAGTCTTAAATAATCATAACCACTTACTGACCATATGATAGGGCGCAGCTACTGAGCACTGTATAACTTTTCAAACCTTGGAGTAAGAGTGGCCCCTGCCTCCCTCATTTCCTGGTCTACACTGATGTATTTATTCATAGTGCATTTGCTTTTTGTCATAGCATCCATGGACATGATTCAGGTCCACAGGGATTTATCATGCAAAGGAATGCAGCGTGATCTGCTGTGGAGCCAGGGGCCACTTAGAGCCACTATTTTGTACCCTTACCTGAGAGATGTGGCTATATTTACCTTGAAAATGTATCATTTCCCCCTATAGTTCCCCAGAATACCTACACTCACTTTGGGAACCTTGGGTCAGATAGCATGCAGGTCTCAGGTGTGTCCATTTTTTATTCCCAACAGCTGAGGTTTTGCAGGTGCGGTAGGAGATAACATTTGTTTCATGCTTGCTAATAAGCAGAATGGTTTCACATAAATATAAATATGCTACAACCGTCTCATGAAGTGGGTGGTTCTCATTCTCCCCATTTCATTGATGAAAAGACAAGGACTGATAAAGTTGTTCTTCCTGTTGACACAGTTTGTATGTGCAGCGGAAAAGTCGTGCTCAGTCCTTCAACTTCAAATCCTAGGTCAGTTTCTCCACACGGTCGGTGTTTGATCTCTGCTTTTGAGCTCAGAAATAAAATGAGAAACCACATTTGCATAGAAAATTAGAATTGTGGGCTGTGTCTGCCTACCTGCCAATCAGAAATTTAATGAGAGAGAGAGGGATGTAAAGATCAGCCCTTGGCTCTGAGTGGCAGTGCCTCAGACTTAGAAGGAATAAATACAGCTCATGTCCCTGTGTGTTAAATTTGCTTATGTTTAGTTGACCGGAAGCTCAATAATAAACAATAGTAAAGCTTCCAGCAATTTCATTTGAGGGTACGTCAGGGTCAGTCTAGCGTCTGCTACCAGGGAGCTGGTGATTCTGTTCCGCTCTGCTCTCAGCTGTCTAGAAGCTCATACTTGGGAGCTATTTTTAAGTTCTGAAGCATGCCTCTTACATAGTGGTTGGAGGACCTGACACTGTTTAGCCAGCAGAAACTGAGCTTTGGGAGGAGAGATGTGATAGGTGTCTTTATATTTCCACCTTCCTAATATTTGAAATTGTGGCCCCCAGGGCAGAATCCCTACTTTTTAAGTACACTTATTAACAATAAAAAAGTAATAATAATAATAATTTTTTGTGGTTGCAACTACCCCAGGAGGCTGTAAAATCTTGTTATTGAAAATCCCTGTGAAAATGAGAGAAGACGTGTTACATCACACAATATGGCTGCTAAAGCCCTTTCAATACTTAGATTGTTTTTTTTAACTTGCTAATTTTTATTTCTTTGTAACTGAGCAGCAGCTTTCAGAGTACCTGTGTTTTAAATTTAGCTTGCCCTCTCACCAAATACTCCTCTTTCCAGAGTTGCTAAGATTTAAGTTTTCTTTAGGAAACAAGCATTTTTGTGGGTTGGCCATGTGAGAGCTCATATTTCTCCTGGAAGGTCTTCGAGTGTCTGTTCTAGCTTTTGAGCCCAGTCCATGCATGGTTGCGGCCGGTACCTCTGGGAAACCCACAGAGGTCTTCTACCCTGTGTGTGTGCATGTGTGTGTGTGTGATCGTGATTCAGTGAGTCTCCCAAATCAGCTCACCAATTCAGAACCTAAAATAAAAATAAGTGAGTCTTGAAGTACTTGTAGTTTTATCACATCACTGTGCTGTCTGATCTTATACTCGGAACAAACACTTCATGTAATCAATGTTGCTATGCTTAAGACACGGTAGATTTATATGGGGACTTCTTCCCAGACAATGTGAGGGCTTGCGAGCATTAGCCCACCGCCTTGAGTCCTTGTGAGAACAACCGCTCTTAGGCAGGGGCTGCTGTGTCTTCCCCTTTGGGCGCTGCTGCTGCTGCTGCTGCTGCTGCTGCAGTTCAAGCCTTTAGTAGACTGTCAGCCCCTGTGAGTCCCCTTCTTAAATCCTCTGCCTGGGCTGCCTTTCAAACACCGCCTCTATCTCTGGGGCGGAGTTGGAGAAGTCTTTCTTCTTTCCTCTTACTGTAGTCTTCTTTCTGCATTCTCAAGCTCTGCCAGCTTACTTTCCCTTTTGTGAAGGCAAATTTTATGGGAAACCCCCTTGCCAGCCCCGGGTTGTGGGTGATGCACACCAAAACCGAAGCAGGGTCTGTGTGCGTTTTCTGATTTGCTGGGAAGGCACCTCGTAAGGCCACTGTAGCCAGCTTAACTGCCTGTGTCTTCCAGCAGGGCACACGTGTCCTTGAGGAGTTTGCACGTGTGACTCCCACTGAGCATAAATGGGCTGTGTGTTAGGTTTGTTTTGAGTTGTATATTTCATCTGTGAAGTTGGCAAATACTTGAAAGCCATAAGCTACTGTTTTCTGAAAGCTCCTTTGCACATGAACATAAAACGTATGTATTGAATTTGGAAATTGTCCAGTGACTGCCCTTTTCATGCAGCTAAATGTAGATTACAGCTGTTTCCTCTGGAAAGATCAATAAAGTCATAGTTTCTCCTTCTTCTCCTACAGAGTGTCTCCTCTGCAGAAGTCTGAGATAGTAGACGTGGTTAAGAAGCGGGTAAAGGCCATCACCCTCGCCATCGGGGATGGTGCCAATGATGTCGGGATGATCCAGACGGCCCACGTGGGTGTGGGAATCAGTGGGAATGAAGGCATGCAGGCGACGAACAACTCGGATTATGCCATCGCTCAGGTCAGAGGTGCGGCTGACCAGCTGCTCCATCCCGTGCACGGAGATGGCAGCTGGGCATGAAGTTCTAGTTGGTGTTGAGTCCGTCAGTCCAGCCCCGAGAATTCTGCCTCCCGCTTTAAGGTTGCCACCTAGGTGAAATCACTAGTGTGTTTGAATGTCGTTGTAGTCTTGGTCTCGTGTAGTTTGCGGGCCCTGTCCTGCCACTTAGGTTTCTTCTGACTAGTTGTGGGTTGGCCAAGCTTTCTGTCATCCAGGCAAGATATCTTTCCTGACAAATAGGTTTCTGCTCCTCCTAATAATAATCTTACCTGCAACTCATGCATCTGCTATGCAGGCTTTTCCTTCCACCGCCTTGTGCCAAAGAACTGTGTGCTCATGACACCCACTCTGTAATTCGCATGGTGGCATCTCCCCTCTTCTATAGGTGCTAGAACATTCTGTCACCAGGCATTTAAGATGAGGGGAAGTGGTAACTTACAGCTGTCATTCTCCCTGTAGCTGTGACCAGGGTGCTGCCCAGGACCACTGCTGTGAGGTGAATATCTGAGAACATGAGCTGGCTTGGGCCCCAAGTACCCCAGGATAAGCAGGGAAGAGTCTCCCACACTTAGGCCAAGTTCATCCCATTCCTCTCTGGACAGAACGTCCCCTGCAGAGGCCCCCGATAAAACTAGTTACTGCACAGGTGGCCTGAGAATGAAAAAAAATGTCTACTCCTTAATGATAGCCAAAAAGCAAAGGGTCAGCCAACCTCCTGACCCTTAGGGCACATATCTAGGCCATTTGGCCTGAACGATTGTACAGAAAATCAAGACATGGCAATGAACACAGAATGTTTCTTCCTGTCTCCTGATTGCAGTATGTTTTGATTAAATGCTGCTTGTTTGCAGATTAGCTAGAGTTCCTTTCTCCAGTGCTTAGTCTTTGGGAGAATGCGTTAATCTTAATCATATGAACAAAAGTAGTAATAATGGCTTTTTCTCTCTTCACGCTGAAATCAGGGGCTACTTATAAAACAAGAAAAAGCTTCCAGTCACCCCAGGGTTGCAGGCTGGCCCTCTGCAGCTTTGGGGCTCTACCTCCCCAAAGGAGCGCTCTGCACTAGATCACCTCTCAGATTCCCTCCCAGCTCATGGTTCTGCAAACCCAGAGAGGAATTTCAAATCCTCATGACTCTGAAAAGTGCATGAAATCAATCTTGTTCTTTTGTTGATTTCATATAAATCCTCAAGATAATTGCTCAAAGTAGGTAGAAGGAATTCTGATTTTACAGGTGGGAAAACTGGGGCTCTTTCAGGTGACCTGCCTCAGGTCCAAGCATCCAGGGCCAGGGAACACCAGATCTGCATGTGACCTTGGAGACCAGCCCTGCACACCTGCCCATTTACTTTCCTGAGTCAACTGCACCAAGGCCTGGGGGACTCACACTTCCTGTAGTCTGTCAGCAAGTGTGGATGTTATACACCCCAGCGTTATTAAATAGTTGAGTTATAGCATCATATGGCTGGGAGGGATCTTTAGAGGTTTCCTAGGAGTTCTAGGCAAATATTTGTCTGTCTTTTTCTTTAAAATGTCTAGGGAAGGGTGATTCCATGACCTGCTTTATTGAAACTGCATACTAATAGGATATGGAATCTGGAGCAACTGCTCTCTTCAAATTAAAAGCATCAAAGAAAGACAGACAGGGGAGCAGGGCTTTCTGTCTCTGTTTAAGGGTTTTCTTACCCCTCCAGCACAATGGTCACCCAACTGATGAATGGCCCCCGTGTCCATGCTTCTTCGTTTCTCCTCTCCATGGTCCTGTTCATAATAAGGCAGAGGGCCCAGTACCTTAGGGCGGCGTTGCTCCCCCCTTACAGCCCCTCCACCCAGCCATGTGCTCCCTCTATAATCACTGAGAGGGAAAGAGGCCACAGTTTGATGAATTTCTTTGCCCCTAGTGAACTGATAAATGTCTTTGGTGGAAGTTAACAGCTTGTCTGTATCTGTTTTTTTAAATGTGGCTGAATCCGTTTTGATTGGGTTTTTGAGAAAGTGCCCTGAAGGACTATATATGAAAGAAGAAGATTTAGCTTAAAGAATTGTCCTTGGAAAAATTATGAAGTAGACAAGGCTCTGGGACCTGTGCTTTTGTCCACGGGGCCACTCCCGAGATGGACACCATCCCCTGATCTGCCGCTTTGCCCGTGGGCAGCCTGTGCTGGCTGCGGGAGTCCTCAGCAGCCTGTTCTCCTCGGGAAAGAATCACTCCTGCCCCTACCTTCCTAATGTTTCCTGAACGACCTCATGAAAATAGCATTTTGATTTAGGATGGGTTTTTTTTTTCTGAAAACAAATCATTGTAGCACTAACGTTGAGGCATTTAGGATGAGTACAGCAGATGTTCTCTCTGCCCATGGAAGTGTAACATCAGGGGTCCAGGTTGAATACAGACTTCCTTTTTATTTGTCTAGCTAGTTATTTTATGATTCCCCATTCCCCTTGGGAATCCTTAATGAGCCTTTATGGGCAGTTTTATTTTTCCATGTGCACCAGCTCCTGCCATTTTGAAGCATCATTTAGCTTTTGGAATATGCAGGTGAGGGACCTGCCTCACCCTGATCCTTTGAAAGAACTCATTGAAAGGTGATGCCGCATCAGACTGAGTCCTCTTCTTTAGTGCTAACGGAAAGTATTATGTGGTTCCTTCTTGAAAATAATGTATTTTTTAAACTATTGTATCTTGTTATAGTCTTTTCTACAGATCGTTAAATCTAATTTCAAAAGTAATCGAGGTTAATAGGAATTTTGTAGTAGCAAAAGAATTTCTAATGTTGGTGGACATGCTCCTTAGACAACCCCTGATCTCTTCAGGAGAGTTGTGGGGTCTGGGCTCCAGACTGCTCTGCGACTCAGAGCAGGGAATGGGGTTTTAGTTCACGGCAACCGGGGGCTTCAGTGTGGGTGTGAGGCTCAATGAATGTACAGAAACTGTACATTTAAACAGAGTCATTCCTAACAGTGCATTCACTCCAGCACACAGTACGATCCACAAAACCAAAAATGAACAAACAAGCAAAAAACCCACCTAATTTCCTTCCCTCCAGCTCAGTGTTCACACTTTTTGGGATGTTTGTGAAACAGGACACAGAAGGCCAGGCCAGGCCCAGGGGGCGCTGTGGAGACCCGATTGGGTGGCGCTCAAAGACCCTGTGCCCAGAGAGGGTTCAATTATTTTATTAGAATATTAGGATATCAGTGCGTGTTTTGAACTGTGAGAGCCATTACCTTACTCTCAACTTAGTACGGTGGCTGCTTACTTACTGGCTTTTGTTTTTCCCGACTGCACAGCACTGTAGCAAGAGGGTGCCCCGTACTAGCTGGCAGAAAAGGAGAACGAAATGGGGACAGAAGTGGAGGCAGAGCGTGTGTTTGTCTGTGTGTGTCTGTGAGTCTCTGTGTGTCTGTAACTACTTTTAACCTGCAGGCCGACAGTGGAAATAGGCCGTGTATATATGTGTGTCCCTTTTTCAAAAGGCTGCTGTTGCATGGGTGACATTATCCCTTCTGTTGTCACTGTGGAATCTGTGATTGAGGGTTCCGATTCAGACTGCACTTTCCTTCCACTGCGGTGTTCATCTTCTTCTAATATGAAGTCCCTTCGAAAGCATTTATAGAAATAGATCTTTATGAGAATAATAATTAGAAGTCCAGCTGCTGCATATTTGGGGGAAATTATAATTATGTAGATTTGAGAGATTTTAGCTCTTCTTATTAGGCCTGCAAGCTTGGCCTTTCATTTTCATAAGTGACTGGATTTTTCCTTCAAAGGACACTGTGTGACTTTTATTCCTAAACGGTGGGCTCCTCTGAACTCTATTTTCTTCTTTCAGTTTTCCTACCTGGAGAAGCTCCTGCTGGTCCACGGTGCCTGGAGCTACAACCGGGTGACCAAGTGCATCTTGTACTGCTTCTACAAGAACGTGGTTCTCTACATTATCGAGGTGAGCCACTCTGACTGTTCCTTTTCCATGGGGCATCTGTGGTGTTTCAGGTAACTTCAGAGAGGATTTTACAAATGCAAAATTAAGGCATAGGTACTGCTTCAATGTACTGAAGCCTGTGTCACACATAACCTCTTTGAAGCTGGGGACTCCTTCCGGATGTGGGTCCTCATATTGTGTAACCAAAGCCAGGAGTCATCGCCCTTTTCTGCTACCATGCCCCGTGCCCCCCACCTCCGGCTCCCCACCTCAGCTGTCCCTGCCCAGCGGAGGAAGGCCCTCTCCTTCCAGTGTTCCTCTCCGCCCAGGTAGGTGCCGCTGTCACTCACAGGGTGACCAGAGCCTGGCGGCAGTGTCCACGCCTTTGTGAGTGGGCACCGAGACTTCTGGACCACCCAGTCAGTTTTTCCTTTACTAGAATGAAAGAGCCTGATTTCTTGCTATAGTTCTCATGGAATCCTTAAGTTTCCTGAGCATTTATTCATTGTTTGGGGGATATCTGGGCACTACTGCTTAGTGTCCTGGAGCGGGATATGGGGCAGGTGTGGAGGTAAGTGGAGAGTAAACCAAGAATTTAGGTAAGTTAAAATATCTCAGTGAACTCACGGAGCTGTCACTCTGTTTCATGGTGCAGATTCGGTTCTAAGTAAAATGAATGTGCTTGCTAGAGGAACCAGGTAGGGAGAGGGGTGGGCCCAGGAACAGGCGGAAAAGGCGCTTGGCTCTTAGTGGGAGTGGCAGCCAGCTCATCTCTCCTGTAAGAACAGCTCTGCTGCAGAGGCGCGGTGTTGAGGCCTTTGTCACCGACAGATTTCCGAATGTGTCCAGGGAAGAGGAAGTAGGCAGTCCCTCTATGGAGAAATAGAAAAGCAATGTTGCTTGTGTATGGTGTTAATATCTCATTCTATTATGGATTATTTTGTGTCTGATTTCTCAACTCTTGACAGAAATAATAACCAAGGCATAGATTAACTTTTTCAGATATGGTCCTTGAAAATACTCAGCTCAGATAATTTAATAACTAGTTTGCTATGAGTAACCATTTTCTTACCAAATTTTCTACCCTTTCTTTTTTTGAATATTCAGGACAAATATATAGGTTCACATCACTCACTCTGTAACTAAACTGCTCACGAGCTGTGCAGACTGTTCAGTGCACAAGCCTGTCCAGCCAAATGCGATAAATGGGGCTGAAATAAAGGGGAACCTAGAAAAAGAGATGCATTTTCCTAATTTGCATGAAGGGCAGCCTACTTGCCTCATCTGCTTGTCTTGCGCTATAATATTCAACTCAGTCCACTCCAAGTAAGAACTTTTAGACGTTATGTGTAATGGACTCTGTAGTTTCTGTCTTCTTCCTCTTCACGTTTTTACAATTCCCTTTTAGTCTTTTAAAGATGTTTGTCCCCTCTTCCTGTGGCATTTCTCGCATTTGTGATAGGAGTCACTCCTAAATGTCACTTGGGGTCATAAAGCATTAGAACCCTGTTCCCACGCGCCATCCCAAGTTTCACATGCATTTTAAGCTCCCGTAGCTGTTGGCTTCACAAGGTTTCTTACTAATCTGGTTTTCTTCACAATCAGCAAATTACAGATAGTCTAGACTTCTTATCAAGACACTCTTCACGAAGCTCCTAGCCCTTCAGCTGTCCAGAGCATCCTCTGGGGCCTGTCTTAGTCATTTACACCTACTATCTTGCCTTTTTTTTTAAAACTTCAAGTGGGCCAAAGATGAGAAGAGTACAACTTTAGTCTGTTTGAGAAGTTCTATTTGGAACAAGGCCCTGAAAATGCTGTGTGAGTTCTTTCATTTTTCAATCGTAGCTGCGCAACAGTTGCTAACTGGCCTTGTATTAACAGCCTTGGAAAGCATTCTTTACAAAGCTATAAGTGAATGAATGAATGAATGAATGAATGAATGAATGAATAAGAAAGGGAAAGAAAGTCTCTACCACTCTCTGCTCCTTGTTTTAGTTACCATTCCTCAGTATGTTAATTTGAAAATGAAGACAAGGAGATGCTCCCCTGAGCCTGGCAGTGCGGGCCCTCGCTCGGCAGTGTCCGTCGTTTCCAAGTGACCTCATCAACATGCGTGGCAAACACCAGTTTAAAACTAGGGAAGTACCTCTCGCATGCTATTCTACTGTGTCTTGACCTAAAAAAAAAAACCCAAAATTGCCATAATTTGACTAGCTCCTTTGCAATGAATAGTTTTGGGTTCTGAGGATTTTATAATTGAGAATAAATTAAGTAATATTACTTATGTCTCTTAAATGGTTTTCTTGTCAAGGAGAAACCCTTCACAATAGCTGCTATGTTCTCCTCTCAAATGTCTTCTGATACACATAACTCCCATGCTTAAAACAGGTGAAAAATCATTCAGCAAATTAAAAAGATATACACATCCACGTACACACTTATATAGTCTTAGCCATTAGTATGAGGATAGTCTATGATCTGAATTGCTGATAAAGGTTGCGTGAAGGAAGTGTGAGCCCATGATGTAGTACAATCTACTCACCTGGTGCACAGACCTGTAGAACTTCTCCGTGGAAGGGTGCATGGGTACATTCTCATAGCAATATGGAGCACCACCGAAGGTTCCCAACCCTGATACGTATATTCTTTTCTGACCTTTCTCTCTGATTTACAGAGATCTGTACATACAGAGAGATCAGTGTTTTTCCAGAAATGTGATCATGCTCTGTAATACAGTCTACAATGCCTGTTTTACTTAACAGTGCATTTTGAGTTCATTCTGAGTTAGCACATGTAGATGCGTTGCATGGTCTTTCACAGCATAGTTTCCTACGATCTATTCAACCATTTCTGCACTGATAAACATTCAAGTCATGTCCAGTTTAATCAACAAAAAGCCTTGCAGAAAATCAGCTGCCCATAAATAAGCCACCAAAATGGTATTGATCTAATTAGACCATTTTCACCACAGCGTCTCGAACAGAACACACACTCCATTTCTATGTTACTGCCTGTGCCCCGAGTTCTGTTTTGCTGACAGGCTTTACACAATGCCTGATCGGTGTGCCACATCACAGCCTAAAATAGGCACTCCACTGGTTGGAGTGATTAAAAATTGGAACAGAATGATGGGATCAGTGATTTCTTGGTGGCCTAATAGCTAAAACTAAAACTACACATAGCCTTCGTTTTCCATCGCCCTTGCCACTGTCTTAATTGAGTACTTGTTACCTGGACGATGGCAAAAACCACTAGCTTCACCACCTTGGGCATCTGTGCTGCCGTCAGGATGAGCTTTGTGAGCCACAGGCCTGACCAGTTCCAGTGGCTGGCACAGTGTCTAGAGCACAGGTGCTCAAAAGTGGTGGCAACAAATGTGTGGTGAATGCCGCTGCTCTTTTCAACCTCTTCAAGGTTTCCTGTGCCTCCCAATGAAATTCCCTCTTCCGCTCTTTGCCCCTATGCCTGCAGTGTGGCTCTCAGTTATCCCGAGTCCACTCCTACTGCATCCCTGCTTAGTTTGCTTTTAATCGGTGATATTGAAGTATAATCAATACATGGTAATATGCACCTCTTTTAGGTGTACAGCTCTGTGAATTAAGACTGGGTTTTTTTGTCAGTAGAACTAAATGGCAACTTCCTGTCTCCTGTACACTGTGACAGTAGCGTCCCCAAGACCTCTGGAGCTAGGCAGTAGTGCTGGTTGCACAGCAGTGTGAGTGTGCTTCCTGCCAGCAAATTTTGCACTTGAAACTAATTAAGATGGTAAACTTTATAGTATGTGTATTTTACTACAATAAAAATGCTAAAAATATTGCAAAGGAGTATCACAAGTTCTTTGTTGCTCTAACCACCTTGAGGGAAACGAAAATGTAGAGACAGACCGTATGCTTTGGGGAGCTCATTCGAAAATCTGAAAAACAAACTTCACGTGTAGTTTGGCTTTGTATCAAAACCAATTAAGTGCTAAGTTTGTGGCTGTGAGCAGATGGACCGTACTTCCCAGAAGGTAAAATCCTGTCGTGGCCTAGACTGAGCAGAACCTCAGAGCCTTGCCCGAGCAGGTAGGCTTCCCGTCAGCCAGCTCGAGGGGGCGCATTCTAGGTGTGTCCATCTGGGTTAGGGGAGCAGGAAAAGGAATAAAATTAGAGAAGGCAAGGAGATGGGATAGATGGGAGAGAAGGCTGGCCAGGGAGGGGAATCTGAACAACCAGGCTGTTACTGGCAGCTGGGGTTCTTTTTTCATTCTATTGTTAGGCAAGTTACCTAGTAAAAGTGATTTCAGAAAATTTGTCAATATATAGGGCAGACAGTAAGCTGAGACCTGGGGCATAAATCACAGCCGTTATGTAACTATTTCCCAATATAATTTATAAGTTGAAAGGAAAGACTGATTTTTAAAAACTCTTTGATTTTAACAATGGGAGGATTTGACCTTAAACACAAAGATTGGAGGGAAGGAGGTTAGGGAAGGGTTCTTATAAATTTTTGAATTACTGGTCCGGATGTGACCACTTAATGATTCCTAAAGAGAATGGTCAAATAAATTCTTTCAAGTTCCTACACTATTTAACAAGTAGGGGTTGGTTATTCAGAAATTCCCAGAGTACATTTTCAAAGCATAGCAGGTTCAGCACCTGAAGCATTTATGAGGTAAGCATTTGCCCGTGGTCTTTCTGAATCGTACGAAAAGGTTATTTGGAACAGATAACATATTTTAGTGATAATGAAATTCAAATGGAAAAGTAGTAGGAAAGTTACTTAAATTTAACCTGCACTTCAAAAATTTGATACGGACTTCTTGTAAATTTTGGTATAACATAAAGAAAATGTGTATCCAGTTATGTTTGAAATAGAGATGAGACTTTGAAATTGTGCTGGTGGTTAGTGGGTGGTTCCTAGTACTGAGAAAAACCATAACATATAGATACTGATGTGGAAAATGGGGATTTTGTGCTATTTACAGGGTCTGCTTATTTTGGCAACATATGTAAGGAATTTTAATGTGTGTTTTTTTTTTG